AACCGCCGTGCTGAAGAACGGGTCGCCTAAGTAGCCTAAGTAGTAGTAACTACCTGGAATACCAGTTACGGAAGACTCCGATCTCCTCAAAAAAGTTTCAAGATATCTTCTATCGTCTCTGAATGCGCAGAACAACCCAGAATAGTGTGTTGGAAAGGCATGGATGAGCGCTAACTAATTAGATGATCCTCCGCAAATATTCTGCTTTGAAACCCGACCAGTGCCGGCTGCTGCATTTCTCTGCTGCAACGACGGCTTGCTTTATTCCAGGGATAACATGCTTTGGAACTTGAAGGAAAAGCCGACATAATTCTTTAAAAGTTTGCGGACCTCCGGATTGCGAAGCCCAAAGGCCTTCTGATACTCAAACCTCTTCCCAACCTTCTAAACGAATCGTGCCTTTTAGGATGGTACCTTCGTTAAAAAGAGTGGTGAGTGTAGCATGAGCTCCACGCTACCTTGCAAGCTGTAACACATGCGACCAAGGCGCATCATAGTCGTGGGAATCACTACAAAATGGGCCGCATTTAATCGCTAGATGAGGAGGGTGTAGTAAGCATTTTTATAATCAAAGGATTCTCGAATTAATTACATTGCAGGGAGATCTGCAGAGATTTCGCCTACGAGCTTATTCGCTTATCCCTAGTCATTTGACAGCTGCTACGCTTTCTGGGAAACCTGCGGCCATACCGAAAGCCGTACGGCTATTGTCAGAAGAAATGAGTGCCTAAAAGTTGTTGGCGAAGTGTCTGACTCAATGGGTTAGAGGGCTTCCGGTAACCGGATGCTCCCTCCTCGCCGCGAGAGTTCGGAGGAATTTCCTCAACATCCTCCGGTCGAGCTCTGGAACGGAGGAAAACAAGGCGAGGGGAGAGAGTAAGAAGGAAGGAAAACGGAGAAGGGTGGAAAAAGGGAGGAAGGAGGCTCCGCGCTTGTCAGACGTCATGAGACGGTCCCAATGTCATGATGGACCACCGCGCACGCAAGTGTAGTACGGTATTCACGGTTTGTCCCGTGCGACACCGCGTCACTGCCGCTGCACACCTTCAAGCGTAATTCAGGATCTTCGAGGACCAGCGTCGTGAAGCAGTTGGTACTCCAACTTGACTCGACACAAGACCTTAAAACTCCCGATACGGGAAACGCTAGACTTCGAAGTCGCACGCGAGCGACCACATGGAGGGAGCCCCGAAGAAGAAGCAAGACTTCAAAAAGTACTACACCTGAAGGCAAGACTGAAGAGGCCTCGGATAGAACAAAGTAGCGATCTCAAAAAAGAATAGGGTACCACACGATGGCGCGGGTCTAGCATAAAAGATTTAGAGGCCACAACGTCAGTTGGGATGTGAATTTTCAATTCGAATTTCCATTTTTCAACTTTTTGGCGCCGTCTTTGAAAACACAAATTACAAAAATAATCTGAACTTTTATTAAGCTTGAATTTCACGTTTTCATGTATACAATGGCTTCACTAATATAGTGTTCACCTGACACAGGTATGAGCTGGATTACATAATCGATTGGATTTAGGGCACCAACACAGCTCATTTCTAACAGGGTCTTACATGACATGACACGTAGACACGAGCACAACTACCTACATAAGAATTTAGACTTGTCATTTAATCGAATATTCTCTGGCAAGAAACCGTAATTCATATCAAAAATAATTGAGCTGATCTCCAATCTTAAATACACTAGGTGACAATTATACAATAGAACATTATCAAAGCGCTATCTATAACATGTACTTCTCTATGCTGCGAACTAATAATGTGAATATAAAAGTCTAAGTAAAACAAAACTATCTACGATACTACTTTACTCGAAGGCACACTGTACGATCATTTGAGAAGAAGATCCTTCCTTAATGCAAGGTAGGCAGATCTACAGCAGTAGATATGACGCACTCTTGCCATTGGAAAGTACGCGGCAATGAAACTAGAAGCCTGCGACAGCATAGTGTTCCTCCGCCCGCCAATCGATACGCACCACGCCATACGCCACACGTCCAGCCATGCGCCTAGGTAGGTTATAAGGCTGGTCAAATTGCGCGGCTGTGGTGAGCTATGTATCGATCGAAAGCGTCTAGGTTCACTGCAGTAAGTTTCCATATGATGCGAGTGCTACGCTTCTACAGCGGTAGACCTGCCCGCCTTGCATTATGAAAAGATCCAACTTTCAAGTTACCGTACAGGATGTCTTAAATTTGATGAATTTGGAATTCTGTTCTGCATATGCCACAAATATTACAAGTCAGAAGATATAAACGCGAACTCGAAAACCTTATCATTGAACTGGCATGCAAGGATGTAACTCGTTAACGTGGAATTCTGAGGCAGTAACGTTAGGCGGCACAACGTTGTGAGTCCAGAAATTGAATCTCGTAATCTTACAAATGCGAACAAACGATGAAAAATTTCGGAGCAAATCGAAAGAGATAGCGAGACATGTGACCAGAGCCACATATGCGAGGTTTCAAAACCAGAGGGTAATGAATCGACGTCTTATAAAGACAAGGGTCATATCATTCAAATGTCACTATCATCATCCTGGTCGCCACCGCGTACTTTCAATTCACGTACTGTAGCCTGAGCCATTGCACCAAGTAATACTTCGGGACAGGATACGAATGTTACATTGTTATTATGGAATCGTGCGCAGAGTTGTGTTACCTGAAACTCTACGTCGAACTGGTAGCAGTAGTATAGTACTAACGAAATGAGGCTCATGGGAAGAAGTCGGATGTGTGACAAAACAATCGTAATATGCCGCGTTGGGGTGGCGGGCGACGAGGGAATGGAAACCGTAGTATAACTGATTTATATACAGCTACATAGATCAGTACGAACGGCGTCGCGAAAGAAATCAAACAGTTATCAAACTCTGCCCAAAGAAGCCGGATGTGTGACAAGACAATTGTAACATGCTGCGCTGGGGTGGCGGGCGACGCCGCGCCACGTGAGACGAGTTGTTATACACGGCTCATTGAATTGAAATGCTGGATCGGGAAAATTGATATCACTCCCACGGAGTTTTTCCCCTTCTTGAATTCGCATGAGATTCATTGGTCCAGTCGACGAACATGGTTATCGAAAATTTGCCGCGCACGCGATAAATTACGATTGTCTTGTCCGTCTTCCAGTGAGAGTCATCACCTTCTCTTGGAGCGCTTCGTCTTTCGTCACCCAAATTGTGTAGACATTCGGTGGCGCAACGGACAAGCACTCTTCGAGCATTGGAAGATCCGTGTCAGAATCACCGCAAACCAGTATATTACCTTAATTACACCCTGGCTCAGTCAATGCATCATTTCAGACAGAACTCGGAAACGTGAACCACGGCGCTGTGCCTCAGGAGGGGCAAGGCTTCAGCGGAACTGAGTCACGTCGTCTACATCCTCTCGCCAAAACACTTTGACATTTTCTGACGTGACTTAGCGCCAGTATCAGCCACCCACACACGTAAGGTAGTATGATAGGTACGCCGCTCCCGAAAACGGCGTGCCCAAGGCTTGCTGTAGAATGTCTCCCACCAAAAAACACAGCGCCGGAGCCATAAGAGTACCAATGAAATGGTTCAACTCACCATCTTGTAGCTGCATGCCCATCTTTCGCTCAATGAGACGAACACCGTGACCTTTATTGAAGATGCGACCAGATAACTTAGCCTGAATATTAGTGAATCTCTGCATTTTTTCAATCGCAATTATAAGAAGTAACAGCGCTTTCGACTTAGCGATGGCACTTCGCACATTCGCTGGTTTCTTTTGCCACATCCTGTTAAAGTACGCGTCTCATTTCGGTGAGATTTATACGCTCTTATCAAGTGTGAACGAAGCTCGCACTATTCCACAGCTTTACGGCGCCCAGACAGGTCCCACAGGAGGCATCGGCAGTGATCGATGAGAATCAGCAATATGCCTCCCCCCCTCCCACACACGCCCACACACACACACACACACACACACACACAC